AGTCCCGTTTGACCCGAAACCAACGGTGCCGGGCCCTGTGTGAGCGTGGTCCAACATTGGTACAAACTTCATAGCACAGAATACAGACGACTAACGTTTCGGAGAACTCGTCCTTTATTCGACGAGGTGTTTGATCCGATAGTTTACTTATGTGTCTTCTACTGTTTCAGACTTCGAAAAAGGCGAGCTGGTCGACAAACGAGAAGATTACAACCATGCCAAGATTTAGAATAGTCAAACATGGATCCCTATGAGCGACTGTCAACACTGTTAGCCGCAGCTTGAGAGCTGGCTAAGAAATAGGGAGTTGGTAACCTAGGGTCTCTAACTTGCTTAGTGTAGTGTTAGTGACAGGCCTCAAAAGCATGGCGCAAGCACGCCACGTGTCGTTACTTCATCTTTCGGATGGCGTCCTCAGCTCCTGTTGCCGATGCAGGAAAGCTCTAACACCAACTTTTGGAGCTGGATGCCCAGCCCGCAACCGTGCACTTCGACCAACCAGTTGCCAAAAGAGTAGATTTTTCTAACGCAGCGAGTTCTATCATCAAAATATGATAGTGATTTGACATTTCAAAAATGCTGACCGAAGAGTTTGTACCTACCAATTTCCTCAATTCAATAAGGTCTTGAGCTTCATCAATAGAAAAGATACCCTTGATAGCTTTCTCGAATTCTTCTCCCTTTGCGGCACTGAATCTCTCGTTCCTAGCAGCAGTGCATACCTGAAAACTTGAAATTTGATGTATTCTGATAGCAGTAAATTCAAACGTACATCAGCACACTCCTTTCTGATCAACTTTTTCGGTTCCAGAAACATTGGCTGTGCATCTTCTCCCTAGAAAGTATAATTGCTAGATTTAATTCTCTTCCGAGTTGCACAACCTCTTTTAGGCCGCGTTTGTGATATCGCACTCGATACTGCCACGTCCATTGATGATAACAAAACCAGTACCGCGAAAGGCCATCTTTGTAACGGCACCCACATCTCCTGCTGGGACATCCGGTTCCATTGGCCGTTTTTTCAGGTGCCTTGTAATCAGCATTGCAAAAGCAAAGAGACAAAAAATAAAACACCTACATAGTAGATTTGACCGCAGTAACATTTCATACGCAGAACTCGTTCATTCTTATCCA